CAACAAAAACACTATTAAAAAATCTACAAATGCACTGACAGCACAGTAAGGATCGTTCAGTGAGACGTTATTCAACTTCATTTTACCAGGAATCGTACTAGTTCGATTTTTTGTATGCATGAAACTCCAAAAATGTTTAGGATCTTGAGAGATTGAAATCTCAACATTATGTGTATAATTTTTATAGGCCACAGATATTTGACGCTTTACCTCAGATCTAAGACGTTTGTACTGTTCATGTAGGGACTCTTTTTATAACTTTGCTTTATGCTTGACTTTCCGAATAATTTCACTGGTCTACCACGAAAGGTACTTATGATTAGAAGTTTTATATTTAGGTATGTAAATATCAAAGATAGATTATAAAAAATTATAAAATTCAACAATAGCTAAGTTAACATCTGAGAAGTGATCTAAAAAGAAAAGTCTGCAATGAGGAGAGTATTATACAGGTCAGTAAAATTTGCTTTTCGGAAATTATATATGTTAATATCGCTAAATAAGGGAAATGCGTCAGGGTTAACATTAATATTTTCAAAACATATATCAAGAGCTGGATGATGAGGGATATCTTCAGGTACCAATGGCAAAGAATCACGAGAAACAGAAGTTTCATTTGATAATATTAAATCTAACAGCCTTCCATTATCATTCGAAACATTATTGCATAAACTTATTATAGCATTTTTCTTACGGTCAAAATTACCCATAAATTGAAAATTTGAAACATTGAAATCACCTATCAGTATGACGCTACCTGATTGGAAACATATCATTTGTTCTAGTTCATCGGCAAACTGTTCAAACACGTCATTAGTTATAGTAGGGGGAATGTAGATTACAGCTACATAAAAAGTTTATCTGACCTATCCAACATCTACAAACTAATATATCAATCAGGGGGAAGCTAACATCTAGAATTGACACATCTACTACTCCGCTTTAATGTAACTTTTCAATGCTAATATAACACCACCACCATTTTTCTCGTTAATGATGTCACATTTCCTATCCTTTCTGAAAAGAGTGCGTAGGAAATAGTTCACTGATCATCACATCCGATTGTAAATTAGTTTCAGTTAAAGCAATAATGTCAAATTCAGCACCACTAACAGATGGAACAAAAATATCAATTTTGCTGCGCAGTCCACGTACATTCTGATAATAACAGCGAACGCTGTTCTCCTTACTGATGGGCCTTAATGGTTTTCCGAAATAATTTTAGGAATCCCGTTCACAAGTTTAATTTTTATGTTAGACTCGCCAGAATCAAGTCTTTCCTTCAACCATCCTTAATCTTTTTATAGAAAGAAAGCTGCTTAGGAGTGCGGTCATATATATGAGAGGAAAACTTCATTCTTAAAGCTCTTGAGATTCATTCATTTCTTGACCACTTCGGATACACATTGCTCCGTGGAGTGTTACCTTAATAGGGCGACATTTGCCTTCAGTTAGCTTACCCAAACGAAAAGAAAAGGTTTAATCAAACTCCCATCAACATGTATGATCTATGGAGATGGAAACCTTGCCTTGGAATGTACGAGATGCGGTGTTGTCAAGGGAACCAATGATGCATTGTTGCAGAATTTGTAGCGATCCTGACCTTTCATTACGATCTAAAATGGAGCGTCGTTAGGACCTACCCGGAATCGATCCTAAACAGATTCGACACAATTCAAAAATTAAACTATTATTTGAGAGTAGAGAATGAAGTAACGCATATTTTCAACATGCATCTTAATTCAAGGGACTGGTGTAACGTATTGGCAACGCGTTAGATTACCGCGTCAGCGTTGTTAGGTAACGTGGTGATGAGCTTCGCTATCCAACCGGCTTTCATCTCTTTCTAACATATGTGCTTATACACACTTCTCACTAGAGATGATCAAAGTTGCGATTTTGTGATCGCAGTTAAAACTGCGTTTGCGATTTACCACTCACTGCGAGTGCAACCTGTGATTGCGATTTGAAATTGTGGGACTGTGTTATTTCATTATTTCCCTTCTATAAAAGGTTAATTACATTAAATTGGTCATATTTAACTGTAATGTGTTAACAACTGTTATCACAAAAAATGAAATAATATTGTATTTGTGTTATAAAGGTTAGGAGAAATGATAATACCTTTTTTTTTAAATCTTATAATTCCAAATTTGTAGATTTTATTAAAAATGAAAACAAATGTCTCTTATAATTATAATTTTAATTAGAAGAATGCAAAATCTAAACCCAACAGGTAATATTTGAAACTGCAAACATTTCTTTTTAAGAACTTAACAAGGTTGGTTTATTTGACTTACTACGTACTAACTATGTTTATATATATATATATATATATATATATATATATATATATATATATATATGATATTTTGGCTGCACACATATTACATTTTGCGAAATTTTCGTCGATTTCGGAAAAAAAAATCCACAAATAACTTATTTTCCTCTTTTTAAACATTGTTGAAACTGAATTAAATAATATTGGCTAGTCAAACAAAAAAACAACCTAGAGATTGAAAATAGAAACCACCAATACCAATCCTAACAATTCGCATTCGCAGCTCGCAACAGTCACAACTCACAACCATATAAAAGCAACGCCATCCGCTCGTTTTTAACCGCCAATCGCCATTATTGGCCGCACGATTGGAACGCCGTTCAAACCCCACGCGAAAGAGTGTAAGTGTAAAGGTACCTAATCGCATGTGTCACTCCCAAAGCGATTGCCGCGATTGTACGGTTGGTTCGTTGGCATGCCTACCGGCTCACGCGAACCCACCAGTCCACCAGCTCGCAACTCGCAGTTTGCTACGGAACGGGCTCGCATGTTGCGATTGCGATTGCACAATCGCAGTTCGCGAGTTTTTGCTCATCTCTACTTCTCACGCTTCTCTCTCTTTTCACATTGAACTCAAGCCGTCAGACATTTGATACTCCCCGGCGGCCAATAAAACCCGTATGTGGTTTTATTGACCAGACAAGCATGAGGGATCATCGACATGTAAACCACTGGATAAATTTGAAATGTTTCATTAGTCTGGAGATCTTTTTTAGACACGTATTAACGAGGATAGTTATTGGTAATATATGATGTGTCTTATTGTTGTTTTTATTAATTTTACGTGCAGGCCATAAATGTCGCCACTAAGATTATTCTTTAAATTTCCGATTATGTCTCCCACTTCGTTAAATGTTAGTTATCTTAATGAAAATACAGGACTACCTACAGTTTGGATATTACTGATAGGGTCACAGTATGTAGCAGATATTCCTTGCTCAAAACATTCATTAAAATTATCTTACGTAAGAGTGCTGGTATTTGCAGTGTTTTTTCACTTCTGTTTTATTTATTAGGTCTCACATAGTTTTCACGAGATTTTTCGAAGTACTTCTTAGGTGGTTATTGTGTTGTATTTTGGATTCTCGGGTTTTATTACGATATATCACATTGAAGTTCCGATACGATCTTGCAATATAAGAAGAGTTATATTTGATTTAATTCAGCTGTGTTAAACCGCCCAACACTATGAAGTTGATGAGGCCTAACAGTATAATACCTATCAGAAAAAGATTGGAGAAATGTATTTTGCAAAAATTCATAGAATATTGAACTTAATGGTAATAGCATTGTTTCCCTTAATGAAATTCCAATATTCCACTTATTGTGGTGTGGAAAGTAAGCAAACGTACCTGTTGGGTTGCCAAGGAGTCAATTTAACTTTTGGCATTTATGATCAGAAATATCCATCTCAGTCACACCCTAGGCGAGTGTGCTGTAGCACAGTTTGTTTCAGGCCAACACTGTTAGTTACGTTTAGCATACGGAAAATTACCTTGCTGGACCTGCACCGTGGAGACCATAGATTCCTAAATCCGCCGCTGTTCAGTTGCACCTAACAACATCTAGTAGGCTAGGCTATGCCATACTTCACGCGCTAATCTTTCGGAATAAAGGGCTCAGGCCAGCACAAATAGTCCAATCATATTATCAAATTTCCCGAAATAATTATAATGTCTGGTTTTATCAATGCAAGTTATACATACCATAAAATGAGTACATCATTTTTTTGTAGGAAAACTTTATCCAATCGAAAGTGTTGGTATGAACGAAAAAACTCTCTAAATAAGATTTGTAGGTACTGAGGAGGCATATAAAATGAGATAACACATAAAAAGACATGATTAGAAGCAAAACAGTTGTTTCCTCAAGCCTGGTCAAAATTGCAGTTTTTGACACAATGCGACGTTAGTCTGATGTCTGATGCAGATATTTGAAATTAGGAAGGAGAAAGGGGTACTGGAACTTAGGGCGCAGATCGAATGCGCAAGAGGTTCTTGTTTGTTATCTATCTTTATACTAATTAGGCAACATAAAACTATTTTAACATTATATGTACTTTTATTGATCATACAGCATCTCATATGACATAGGCTATGCAAGTATTGTATCTGTTAGAAATTTCTGAAACAAAATCTTTGTTCGTGATGTTGAAATTTCTGATGCGCGGTCAAAATACCGCTTGCAACTGCAAAGGATATTCATAAAATTTTCTCAATGATTTCGTACTACGTGTTTGCGCGTGTTCATGTGGGACACAGTCAAGTTAGTTAATTGACAGTTTTCTAACTTCGTCAAATCAATGTTAAATCATTGTTTAACGTATTTACACATATTTCGTTCTATCAGCAATGTTGATATACACTGTCAGTGGTCCCATCTATAAAATGAGATTATCTATAATGCTGCGCGACCTACCTAGGTATGTGAGAGCAACGATGATGACTCTTGGTCAAATCAGAGAACATTGAACAGATGGACATGGTTCCCATATTCCGAAGATATGTTTGTGTCATCCTTGAATCTGCCCCCTGACATTGTTTGGTATACCCAAAAGAGATGCTAGTAGCACCTCTCTAGAAAATATCTCGATTGTTTTGACTGACATGGAAAACGACTTCAACAGCAGTTGTCTGTAAAATGAGAAAGGATTAAATAAGTCCAGTTTATTAATTGTATTAGACGTTCACTAAATAATTCTCTGAGCTTTTAATGAATTTATCAACTAAGAAGTTAAAATTATCATTCTAAATATTTAGTTCCCTTGCCGCTAACTACAAGTGGTTAGATCTTTGATTTTTCTAGAAAATTTTGATTATGTTTTCCATAGCTCATACGAATGCCTTGACTTGTTGGTGAGCAATGGAGCTGCCTTCAAGTGTGTGGACGATCTGCAACGCCTGCCTCTCCATTACGCTGCTGCTTATGGCCATTACCAGTGCGCGTTTACACTTGTGGGCATCGGCAGTCCTGTCAATGTTGCGGATTCCAACGGCTGCCATCCGCTCCACTTGGCGGCGGCGTATGACCAGGAGGGGAAGGTGATCGAATACCTCTTGAAACATAAGGCGGACGCCACTGCTGAAGATAGTAGAGGTAAATATACAAAACACCAAACGAATCTCGATATTCATATTTGGCTTCGCCTTTAAGTTCCGTCTTTCCTCTCAACGTGTAACGATTTGTACACTACATATCCTGTCACTTTTGCAGAGAAATTATAATTGCAAATCATGTTTATTTATTATACAGAGTGTTTTAGAAAGAAATTATATCTACGGAGCGGGTTGAGATAATGAATTAAGATTTTAGTCATTCAGTAAGCACATCATAAGCAATAGACACACAGTTTCCCGCCCCAAACTAAACCAGGGACATAGAAACTGAACTGAACTCCTAGTAGGAAATAATTTGGCTGGCACTGGCCTTTTCGGAGAAAACTAGTGCATTTTATAAAATACCATTAAAATTTCCATAAATTCTCCTAAGGAATTTTTGTCAGATCACTCGTTTTGGAGATATTTAGGTATGAATATTTGAGGTAAAATGCTTTTTTGTCCCTGATGCAGATTTTAATGTCGATTTTTCGATTAGCGTGTATCATTTTTTGTACCTAACCTCCCCAGATGCACTCAGCGCTCGGACACCTTGAACGCGTTGACGCTGCCGTTCAGATAATTTTCAGTTCAGGACATCTACCCAATGGACTGATAATTACGCGATGTATTTAGCGCAAGTATATGTTTCTTAGGGCCGATTTTACTAAGCCTAAGCACACTTGCGTTTAGGGCACAAACTCCACAAATCAATGAGAAGAAGTGTTTTCGGTAATTGTTTTAATGAATATAGTCGATGTCTTGTAAAATATCTATCAAACTAGAGAAAATTTATACTATTTGCTTTAGATGAGTCGTTAATTTCCATTTTATATAAGTACTTCATAAATCTGTTTATCTGAGCCCGGACACAAAGTTTGAGACTATGGCACAGCCTCCACCAAAAGAATGTTGGATCTACTCGAGGCAGGAACCGAATCTGATGCCTAGATTGATATGACAGCAATCACTGGGCATTTTATTAAAAATAACATTGTAACTACTTACCCGAGAAAGATAATTCTTAAAAGTATATATTTTTAACAATTCAACATGACCATTGAGGTCAGCTATCTTTTCTCTTTATATCTCTTTGTATCAGGTCCTTCAGACTAGATCATTTTCTCCTACTCTACAAAATTCTACTTAATAAATTGGGATGATACGTGTTCAGACCTTATTTTCCTGGCTTAACAGACATTGATGCCAGGAAAATTAGCTCTAAATCCGTGTTGACCATAGTTAGAAAGAAACAGGATTTTGTTAAAGAATTCTGTAATTTTATTTCTGTCTTCAGATTTTATTGAGCAGAATTTTGTACAGCAAGGACAAAAATCAATGATCTAGTTTGACTGACTTGATATAAACCAATAAACAGAAAATATATGTTTTTGTATCTAACCTCAATGGACCATGTTGATGGATTATTAATAATATATCATTTTTGTAATTATCTCTCAGTTAAGTAGTGACTCTGTTATTTTCTATAAAATGCTTAGTAATTGCTGTCATATCTAGATATTGTTTAAGATTTGGCTCCTGCTTGGAGTAGGTTCCAAATCCTTCTTTTTGATTGGACGAATTTGCTACTATATCGTAAATTTTTGAAGGAAATGAAAGAATAGGTTTTTGTAGCTAAAACAGTTTATATAGGAAATATTTCTTGTATTAATATGAGAAGGGGCCCATCTTACACAATTCGTATAATTTTTCTTTAGTTCGAGAGACATTTTACAAAAAATCCACCATATTCATGAAATCTATTACTCCAAATACACTTTTCATTGGTAGAATTTGTGCAATAGGCGCAAAAATTTGATCGCTTGGAGTAAATAGTAAAATCGGTCCTTAGAAGCGAATTTCGATGTGGAATGGGTGGCTATTTCAAATTCAATCTACATGGGAAGATGTCAGGAAGATCATCCTCCACAAACAGTCCTATTGTCGTGAGTTGATATATAAACAACTGAAGTTTCGAGTTATCCATTGAAATAATACTTTAGGCCCGTATCGTCAATCGTCCCTACAATTGTAGGGCGCGTTTATGGCCTCCTTGATTGTCATACTCCTTTCTCTCCTTCAAAAATTTCTAGATTACACTTGTCCCGTATCAGCGACTGCGCTCTCCTATTGTGAAGATATGTTTTCTTTTTAAATTGTAGGAAATTTCAGGCTGATAAAACATGATATAACTCAAAAGAAAGCACAATTTGATGCAAATAGATGTTTGTGACATAACCTCAAAATAGAGCGCTGACACGGAGAAGTAGAAAACTATGACAATCAAGGAGGCCATAAAGGCGCCCTACAATTGTAGGGACGACTGACGATACGGGCCTTGTATGTAATGTATTAGATATGAGACAAAAATTCAACTTACTAATATTTGATTAAAAATTTACCACTTTGCTACAAATTTGCTCCTACAATAAACTACTATTTTATAAATACAATACCGAAAATATTACGAGGCGCCGTACTGTGCATTGAGCGAGTCTGTGGGGGATCGTCTGGGATATTCTTCTACGAGAACAGTGGCGGCTCTACCATAAGGCCGCATGGCCGCGCGCCCCCCCAGATAAAATGCCGTTAAAAAAGCATTGAATAAAACCATTTTTATTTTTTTTTTCTAATTAGCTAACATTTTATTGAACATATTATATATTAAACGTCACCCTAATTATTTTGTAAGAAATCAGTCGATTTTATCCTTATTTGCCCGGACTATACGGGCCGCATCGAACCTCGCGGCCGCACGTCGGTGTTTTCGAGCGCTTTCGATACGACTCGGTAGTTAACGCAAGTGAGTGAACGGAAGGTAGAAAAAAGAAGTTTTACCCGTCATTTTTCTAAAGATACATATAAAAAAAATAATTGTATATGTGGATGTGAGGAGACAGATTTATTGTACTGTTTCCCCTGTTTATTATTTTATAATGCCGCGTCAGGTATGGAGTCTAGTTGGTCAAGGACGGGAATCAAAGACCTGCATCATCTTCCTGAAAAGATTAGAAAGCATGAAGCTTCCCGAGGACACATTAATTCGTGCACGGCGCTTGTAGTTCTTGGTAAGACAAATATAGCATCACAAATAAGTTCTGCTTATAGACAAAGTATAGTTGAACATAATGAAAAAGTGAGAAAAAATCGGCACATTTTGAAACGGATAAGCTGTGTCAAATTTTGCAGTGCCTTTGAATTGGCACTTAGAGGTCACAATGAGACTGAAGAGTCTTTGAATCGAGGAATATTTAGAGAATTAGTTGATTTTACCGCTGAGTTAGATGTGGCCCTTAAAAATCATTTACAAAATGCCACGGTATTCAAGGGAACTTCTAAAAGCATTCAAAATGACATATTAGATACCATGCTACAAGTTTGTAGAGAAGAAATTTTGCAGCAAATTAATAATGCAAATTTCCTGTCAATTCAATGCGATGAAACGACCGACATATCAAATCAGTGCCAAATGGTTTTAATATTCAGATATTTCCACGAAGGCGGCATACAAGAACTTTTTGGAGTTTCTTGAGAGTTAAAGATAAGACATCAGTAGGTTTTAAAAACTTGCATAGAAAATGAAATTGATCCGTTTCTTTTACAAAGTCCTGAAAAGTTGATAGCACAAACATATGATGGTGCGAATGTCATGAGTGGTTCTGTCGGTGGGGTTCAAGTTCACATTAAAGAAAAATATCCTCATGCACATTTCATACATTGTTATGCCCATCAGCTAAACCTTATTATGCAAAAAAGTGCATCACATAATTCAAAAGTACGTGTGTTTTTTAATAATTTGTCGGCCATACCAGCTTTTTTTCGAACTCTACCCATCGATGTGATGTTTTAGAAGAAATTATAAATAAGAAAATCCCCAGAGTAGCTGCTACTAGATGGAACTATAACATTCGTACAGTTAACTTTGTCAATGAACATCGTGAGAAGCTCATAGAGGTGTTTGAAGAAATAGAAGAGAGATGTAATAGAGGTGTTACTTTAAATGAAGCTTCAAGTTTGAGAAGAGCGTTAGAAGATCAAGAATTCTTGTTTTGGTTGACAGTATTCCATAAAATATTTCCGCATGTTGACATCCTTTATAACCAGCTGCAGTCAAGAAATCAAGATAGTGTTCAATTACAAAAGGACTTAGTAATTTTTGAAAAGAGTATCGACAATATAAGAGGTCAAATTGATGATATTAAAAAATATACCGAAACAAAGTTTGAATCTAATAAAAGAAGAAGAACTGACGACAGTATACGAGGGGTCATTGCCAAAGAAGTGTGCGACATAATAACAATGCAAGTAAAAGATAGATTTCGAGGTCATTTACAGGCAGCCGAATTGTTTAATACAGAGGCATATTTGAAATATTCCCGAAATTTCCCTTCTGCTATTTTGGATGCCGTAGCTACTTTTTATCCAATGTTGTGTAAAGCCAGACTGAAAACGGAATTAGAAGTTATATACTCCAGGGAAGACTTAAAGGAAATCGTTGGTGCTATGAATTTATTGTCTTTTCTTGTTACGAACAATCTTTGCGATACATTTGTGGAAGTTATAAAATTGTTAAAAACCATTGTGACAACCCCAGTGACCACAGCAGAATCAGAACGTTGTTTTTCAACTCTTAAACGCATAAAGACATTTTTAAGAAACAGTATGCGAAATGATCGCTCTAGCTATGTTGTCAATAAACAGAAACTTGACTCATGAAATAGATAGTTTTGATGAAAAAGTTATGGAAAAATTTATATCTCTAAAAGATCGTAGAGCCAATTTTGTTTTTAAACAATGATTGTTTTTAAATTAACTGTATTATAAACAGAAGCTTATTTTGTGTTATGTGCATGTATTATCATTTCTTTCATCTTTGCTGTTTTTTTAAGGTAAGATATTTTAATGCATTGTATTATTTTACAAGCATAATATTAGTATTTTTATATTTTGCCATTTCAGTATTATGTATATTTATGACGCTAGCTCTAAACGACTAACAGTTGATTTTTTGATTTGAAGCGTTTTATGTCATTAAAATATTGCAAAATTGCAGGTAAAATTTTTTGAATTAGATTTTGCGCCCCTCAAACTCAAATACCACGAGCCGCCACTGTACGAGAACCTTCCATGGTTTGGATTTTTGCGACGAAGCCAATAAAAAAGTGACGTGCGGTTGACAGTTGATAACAAGAACAAACTAGGTCAGCAAATACCGTGGGTAATATAAACTAGTAAAATTATTTCTGTAGCAACCCAGTAAAAGAAAGGTCATAAGAGATGCCTATTACAAGAATAGACTACGCTGAAGATTCAAATGACCTTTTAAATAAAGAAACACGTGTGCTGAGATTATACTTATGCAATGAGAAAAGTTTGAGGGAAAAAATTATTACATGATAAGGCTACTCACAGAAAATGAACGACTACAAGAGCAGTATAACTTAATTACAAGTGACATAGTAGAAAAATATACCATTTTGGATTCCCTTGAAAGAATTGAAAGCAAATATATCGAATGTATTGAATAAGCCTGAAAAAAAACGAGAATTTACCACAAATTCCAAATTGCAAAGAATCTCGTCACTCCATAGTCGATGTCTCATCCACAGGTCTACATCAACAGACAGTTCCAGCAAATAAATCTATTCACATCAATAAATTGGAATCGAAAGGAAATCAATATTGTCTTCAACATTCTATATATTTCAATATATTGAAACAAAAAATTCCCGCTAAAACATCAAGTGGCGATATAATGTTACTTCTGTTGAAACTAATAAATATTTCGCCTTGATCCATCAGAAAAGAAAACGAAAAATCAAAATTGCTACAGCTATTCAAGATATTACATTCGAAGGCTCCGCTAAATCAAATACACAAAGAATTTCGGTAGTTTTGAATAAAATTAAGGATGTTGTTACTGAGCAGACTATCTCAAGCTTGCTGGAGAAAAAATGAACCCTGAAAATTCCCGTGTTAAGAAAGTAGAAAAATACTACTAGAACAAAAATAACGATAATTGCTTTTTGATCCGCGTTAATCCTGAAGATTCGGACATCGTCTATCAGGAAAATTTTTGGCCAAAAGGAGACCTCTTTGAAAGTTTTAATTGCGTCAAGGGTAACAATTTTCTTTCATATTCCTCGATATGAAGCGAAAAAATTACCTCTCGACAAACTACATCATACTAATAATGTAATACCTCTTCAAGATAGCTCTAAATTATCAGTACTTCTTTTAAATATTCAATCTATAAGAAATAAGTCTGATGAACTCTATGTATACAAAAATGACCTAAATTTCCCATCTTTTCCTTCACTTACAGAGCATTGGTTATTACCTGACGAAACTGAAATTTTAAAAGACTATTCCTTTGTTAGTAAATATTGTAGAACAATGCACATTCTCGCACGATCTTAATCAATCAAAGTTTGACTGTGTAAATGATGATATGCACTGCCCAAGTTAATTAGCGGGTCACTTTTTTGATCACTTAATTTAGCACTACCACTTCTCTAATTACATTGGGGTTTTGAGGCAAATCCAGCTCCAGCCTTCTTCTACATAATGCTTTAAATCGCATCGTAATCGAATAAAGAATAGCTTCGCTAGGGCACTTAGAGTGTCGAGATGCCCAAAAACAAAATTTTCAGAAATCTCTCGTGAATTCGCTAATTCGGATGGATTATTTAAATATGTTTCTTCACGTTAATTTTCAACTACAATTCACGTGCTAAGCAAAACTTCCATCGTTATTTTATGATATTGTGGTGTTATAATGTTTCCTCTAACGAATCGTATGGACGGAAAGACGTATCAGACGTCTGGGCCCCAATTCTGCCCATTTTCTTCAGTCCGTCTGTCACGATACGAAATTGTATCCTTAATTTAGTACCAAATTTTGTGAAAAAAATCGTGACTGAATTTAGTTCCCAATTTATTTACAAATTACAATCCTGTCTGATAAGTGAAGCTCATAACCGGTATGTATCTATATGTATTCTAGTTGAGTTATTCAATGTAACTTTTGAGTACTTATTTTTACTCAGCTAGAATTAGGATACTAGAAAACAATCCAGATAACACAAGTACCATCTTATTGCACGATAGAAGTAACTCTGAGATTCCTTGCAAATGGTGAACCATACAAATCATTAATGTACTCTACCCGAATACATGAAACAACCATCGCTAGAATTGTTAACGAAGTACGTGAAGCTATATTATACACTTTAAATCATACTTATCTAAAAGTAAGTAAACTCGTTGCTTGAAGTAACTCCTGAAACTTGGTTCATGACTGGGTTACTCTGTCTAGTTACAGACAGGCAGATTAACCAGCCTTGAATTTCCTGTACACTTTTAGCTTAACTAATTTTTTCTTACAGACACCAACAGAGACTCATGAGTGGAAAGCTATAGCATTCAAATATAATGAGATGTGGCAATTTCCGCTATGTCTAGGTGATGGAAGACATATCACATTCAGAGCTCCAGTGTCATGTTCATATTATTATAAATATTATAACTATAAAGGAACATTAGCCTTGTACTTTTAGGCTTCGTAGATGTAAAATACCGCTTTACATATCTAGATATCAATATGAATGGAAGAATTAGTGATGGAGGTGTTTTTAGAAACAGCAAATTGTCATAGGTTATTTTGACGAATTCACTAAATTTTCTTGAAGCCAGCAGCTTCTAGGATTTTCAGACATATTCGCTGAAGAGGAGCCTGAAGGAAAAACTGAATTGATGCAACAAAAGTATGATATTATGGAATGTGAACTTCTCAGGAAAGAATCGGAGGCATGAATTAAAATAATAGAACAGGAGGCAGAAGTAACAATTGATGGAATAATCGAGTCCAATAAATTAAAAAGAGAAATTTTATTACTAGAAAAACATGTTCTGCTACAAAAAATAACAAACACAAACTTATTAGATATTTATGGATACCAGTTCTTTATAAAATTATACATAACACTTTGCTTAAGTTATGATAAGATTTATTTGGTTGATTTAATAAAACAAGGATTTATTTCGATATAGATTTTTATTTTATGATTTTGTCCAATACTTATTTTGGTTATAATTTTTTTATCTACAATAACTGCTAACAGAGTTCAACTTAAATTTTGAAAGTTCAAATAATGTGTCACTTTAAATAATTCATCTTTGGAAGTCAATATAAACAGTAATCCTAAGCATGGATGAGATATTTCCCTATTAATATGTTATTTGTTTAAAGTTTTTTTCATGTTATATCTCATCAAAATAATGTATTAATTGATTTCTTACAGTATTATGCATATTGTAGTTGTTCATGTAAGGCTGAGTATTTACATTGCCAATTAAGTTTATTGCTGATTCATCATTATTAGGAAGTTCTACCTCATTTAGGAGTTTAACAATGTTATCCAACACTGCTGTAGCAATTACAATGGCCTCAACTTTCTCCACCTTCAACCTTATTCCAAATGCCAGTATAGGAAACCGTCCTTTACATTGCTCAAATTTTATCACACTACAATTTCTGGTTATGATTTGTGATTCACTGAAAAGCAGTTCTGAACTGGTCACAGGACTAGGCAAAGGTGTTATAAAATAATTTTCAATTGGATACCCATTGTCACAAACAATAACATATTTATTGAAGTTTCCTCGTTCAAACCGAGGTCTTACGTATGTATTTGCAAATATGTGTGAATCACGACTGGAGCTTGGCCAACATCCTGAAACGTTTGAGTCACATATTGCTTGAACATTAAAAGAGAAGAAGCCTTTTCGGTTTCTAAAGATTTCTGCATTGTTTCCCCCAGGCGATATAATTTTTATATGTGTGCAGTTGAGAGCTCCAATACATTTGGGAAATCGTGCTACATAATAAAATTTTTGAGAAGTACTTTTTAATTTAGCTTCTGTTTAACACATTTTAATAAACTGATTTTATATGTGTGCAGTTGAGAGCTCCAACGTTTGGGAAATCGTGCTACATCATAAAATGTTTGAGAAGTACTTTTTAATTTAGCTTCTGTTTAACACATTTTAATAAACTGATGATAAAGTCTTGCAATAGCTCCTCCAACAGTTTGAAGAAAGTTTCCTGTCGCATAATAAGTAACTAGAACCATTTGTTCCACCGATACAGCTGGATTCCTGAAAATGAATATGTATTATTAATATTAATTTAGTTATTATTTAAAAAAGTATACTCACCAATTTGTTGGAGACATTATTTGTGCTTCGACCTGGTTTATAACAAATTGAACACTGCACCGTGATAAATTGTATATCGGTATTCCTGCTGTTGTCTTCTAGGATTGATTATTATTTCTACTGTTTCAACAGAGTTTTCATCATCCGTTAGTTCTTGGAGATTTCTTCTAATTTGTAGCTGCTGAGTGCCATGGTACAAAAAATATGAGTAAATGTTTTAATATCAGGTAAAACCCCCCAGTAAATTGTTAAAACACCCATGTAACAAAAATTTAAACAAATATTTAAATACCGAATAAAGTTATGTTTATGTCACAAAACTCTACAATAGGGCCTGGTTTAAAGTTATATCAGCCATTGTACTGCTTCAAATGCACAGTAGTCGTCTGCGCACTTTTAGTATGATATTATTTAGACAGGTTCTACAAAATTTAGCAGGAAATTTGTTCATACAAAATGATGTACTAAATGCTGTCTGACACTAGACGGCCTTTTTCACCTTTGCGATTCTCAGGATGTAATGCGAAATAACGTGTTGTGAACGTGTACACAGATTCACAATTAACTGAAAACACGTTCTGAGAGGTAACCTTACACGTTTCGACTTGAAAAAATCTGTCATTAAAGTCATAATGTGAAAATCCACTGCGTCAACTTCTGACACCGGAGTGAAGTTAGCGACCAATAATTCTTCTGGGCATTTGCGAGAACTTGTCAGCCATTTTTGTGTACCAACTACTGACTTTTTAATAATCGCATAGTATTTATAGCTAATTTAAGCAACAGACTGCCTCAAAAAGGGTAGTTTCACCCTTAGTGCAAAAATATTTAGAAAGCAGCTTTTCGAAAAAGCTAACACAATTGACGTAGGGGTAGCTTAAACCCTCAGCAGCTTTTTATATCCCCCACCTAGTTAGAACAGAGTTACATGCTAAAAATAAATGAATAGTGTTTTACTAGTAGCTTCGGGTCCGTCGATGTGGTGGGCTTCACCCTTTGAACGATAGAAATGTGTTTTTTGCATTTTAACCTAGCCAGAAAAAAGTAACAGGCTAAAAATGAGTCGGAAATGTTTCCTTCATTAGTAGCTATAAGGCCATGTAGATCCCATTTTCTTCGGACCCGTCGAAGGGGTTGATTTTACCTCTTGGATGTCAAAAATGCGGTTTTTTGAATTTATCACTTAGCCAGAAAAAAGTTAGAGGCTAAAAATGAATCAGAAAATGTTGCTTTCATTAGTAGCGATAATGCCATGTAGATCCCATCTTCCTCGGAGCCGTTGAAGCGGTTGATTTCACCACTTGAACGTCAAAAATGCGGTTTTTTGCATTTCTCACCTAGCCAAAAAACGTTACAGACTGAAAATGAACCAGAAATGTTCCTTTCATTAGTAGCTATAAGTCTATATAGATCCCATCTTCTTCGGTCTCGTCGAAGGGGTTGACTTCACCACTTGAACGTGAACTTGCATTTTTCACCCAGCCAGAAATAAAGTTACAGGCTAAAAATGAATCAGAAATGCGTCTTTCATTAGTATTTTTTATACTAATTATAGTAAGGTTCATTTCTGGTTTATTTTTAGCCTGTAACTTTTTTCTGGCTAGGTGAGGAATGAAAAAAAACACCCCATTTTTGACGTTCAAGGAGTGAAATCAACTCTCTGTTTCTAACTAGGTGGGAGATATAAAAAGCTGCCTACGTTCTGAGGGTGTAAACTACCCCTACGCCAGGTAGAAAGAAAAAAGAATGATCTGTCTTCTACACCTACATATAAATGATGTGATGTATTCATTTTTATTATTCATCAATGATGTTAGCTTTTTTGAAAAGCCTCTTTCTAAATATTTTTGCACTAAGCGTGAAAGTACCCTTTTTTAGGCATCCTGTTGCTAAAATTAGCTAGAAATACGATGTAACTATTAAAAAGTTAGTATATTTATAATAATAAAAATAATAATAGTGTAATTGAGTCTTTATTGAGGTATTCATTACAGTTTATAATGTGGCCCAGAAAAGTCCAGAAAAATTATCTTACTCAGTCTTCACTATAATAATAAATTCATTTGTATAGGAAATTGAAACAAAAAAAAATATCCTCATACAGAAAAAAGAACAAAGTATAAAATTTAATGAAAGCAAAGAGGCTAAAACAATAAGAACAATATCATAAAAACAGTAAACCAATAATCTCACCGTTCAGCAGCTATCCAAGTAACCACTTTTTTAAATGCTTCCTAAAATCGGTTATAGAAAGCGATTTGAAGTTATCGTCTCTGTCATCTAGTCTAATCATATTAGCAAATTTCCCCGAAATAATTGTAAAGTCTGGCTTTATTGATGCAAGTTGTTCAAGCTCATAGCTTTTGATTTGAAATTTCCATATGAAATTATAGAGACATTTGTAGTTTTTTATTTTAGCTAATATTAAACTGACTGAAGTAATAAGGACAGTATGTTGGATTCTGCTCCGGTATCCAGTTTAAATCTGATAAAGGTCTTGAATACTTTGATACTAGCATGCCAAGAATTTGATCCATTAATCATACTTTCATCAATGATCACATACCTTGGTGTTTCTTGTAAACAGTTAACCTCAGCACGTTTCTCCTCAATTTCTTTACCTTCTTGTATGACATAGGTCCTTCTTGATTGGTGCTGACTCGATCCTTACGTCCTTACATCAAAGTAGCACATCTTTGCAAAATGATTTTTTCTCTGACACTTGGCACAAGTCTTGTTGAATGCCGGACATTTTCCAAATGCTTGTTTCATGCCACACATCCTGCATTTCCTTATAAAGCTGACTTGCTCTACTAGCTGTGTCTCCTCTTTTTATAAAAGCCTAACATGCTGCTTCGACATTTCTATAGATTCACAATATTGCATAATTTGAGATAATGTCATATTTGATTCTCTAATTAGCCTTTGCTGTATTTGTTTGTCATGAATTCCTAGTATAAGGCGATCCTTTATCATTATATCTGCATATGGCTTCTTGGACTGCTCATTTTCGCAAAAATATCCACAGTCTGCTGCTTGGTTTTTTAATAAAAAACTGTCTACACTGGTCCTCTTTTTGATGTATGCTATTAAATTTGAATCTCTCTATTGCAGTATTTGTCTTTGGAAGGAATTGTTCATCAAAGCAACTGAGCACGTTTTCCAATGTTTTTTCCTGTAGCTTTTAGGAATAGGGTAAACTTCTGCTTCCACCTGGGCCACTGGCTAACTGCAGCTATATCAAAAGGTGGTGGCGACCTGTACTCCATTTTGTTTTAAGGCTCATAAAATTTCTTCACCCATGGGTCGCGATTCACAATGTTTCTCAACTGTGTGGGAGGGCAATGAGACTTTCTAGCTGCTCCAAGAGTGCCTCTTCATCCGCTCATCACACCTGACACCATGTTTTATACTCTAGTTATAAAAAAGTATAAATAGATATGTAAACTTTTTAATATTAGATGCTGTGTCATAACCAATTTTGGGGTTAAGAGAATGTTTAGCTTTTAATATGATAACTAGAGTTGATAATTTGATTAAGCTAAGCAAAATAAAGTTGCCAGCAAGAAAAGAAGATTTTTTTAAAGAACTTATAGGTATATTTGAGGGCTTAGGTTCTTTGCAAGATACTGTTGATATTAAGCTAGGGTCAGATGCCATTCCAGTAGTACAGCCAGAGAGAAATGTAGCATTAGCCTGCACAATAAACTAAAAGCAACTTTGAATGACTAGGAATCCAAAGGCATTATCTCTAGAGTAACATATCCAACTAAGTGGGTTAATTCAGTAGTGCTAGTTTGCTAGTTGAAAAGT